AGCCGGGCTGGAGGAGCAGGCGGAGCTGGGCGCCTCTCCTCGGGCCGCGCGCCCGCGAGCCCTCCCCCCAGTTCCCAGTCCCCAGCCCTTTGGGTCTTCGCCTCTGCAGTGGGGCCCGCCCGCCAGGGGGGCTCCTGACCGGCCTTGGGGACCCTGCTGTCGTTTCGGTCCTAGCGCAGGTCAGGGCTCACAGAGCTTGCGGACAGGGTCGCCACCTTGCAGCCGCCCACTTTGTAGTTAATCAAGCATTGAGTGCACATCGCGGTGCCGGCAGTGACCGCTCTCCTCGCGCCCAGGCAGCCTGGTGGGAAGTGACCGACTCCTCAGACTCCAGGGCTTTCGAGCTCCCGGACCCACCTGCGTTGTAGCCGAGGAGGTTTTCCTGCCCTGCTCGTATTCCTGTCTCGTATTCCCAGTTGTTTTCTTACATTTCCTAAGAGGATGAAGGCGCGCGGGGTTGCAATTTGACATTTGCGAGTCATTCAGAAGTAGGAGGCTATGGCCATCTCACTGTCATTGAATTGAGCCCAATTTTTGGCGGAAAAACAAAAGAACGCCTCAGTTCCGTTGAACAATCCTTTTGGTGGAAAAGTGTCTACCGGAGCTGTTATTTTTATCCCTCTACTTCAACATTCGTTTCTAATGCAGATTGTCCGATCGTTTCCAAAATAGCTTTGAGCTTGTAAGTTTTAATCAGGCTTCCCTCGCTTTTGGCCATAGATTGGGCAGCCGTAGCGTGACACTTGAAAACAGATAGAAACAATGAGGGCGGAGACTGAACCAAACCCACCCTTAATCTAATCCTCCAGATTCCCGAGGATGCAAAGAGTATTTGCAGAAAGGCTTTTCAAAAATTCATGTTTGAAACACTTGTAGGATGTTTGTGACCTGGCAATAGAATTTGTAGTCAAATTATGCAAATCTATACTGATAAAAGGATAATATGCTAATTATACTGGGAGACCTTCTGGATGTCCTTTTGGACAAAGCCATGGTGGCCGGGCAGAGGGGCCCCCCCCCCCCCCCATGAATTTCGTACACTGGGCCACTAGTGTATAATACAAGGTCTGGTAACGCCTATGCTGTGCAAAGAATACATTTGTATTTTTTTTATTGGCAATAAATGTAAAAGTGGGCTCTTAAATTTTCAGAAATGTTCTTGAGGCTTTTTGGTGGTGATGGAAAGTATAATTGTTGAGTTTTTCATATTGGCAATATGCCTGATTCTCTTATGAGCAGAATGAATCATTTGGTTATACTCACTTTAAAATACCCAAATAAGCCCGAGCAGGTTTGGCTCAGTGGTTAGAGTATCGGCCGGCGGACTGAAGTGTCCCAGGTTGGATTCCAGTCAAAGGCACATAACTCGGTTGCAGGCTCAGTCCCCACCAGGCCCCTGCAGGAGGCAACCAATTGATGTGTCTTTCTCACATTGATGTTTCTCTTTCTGCCTCTCCTTCTCCCTTCCACTGTCTAAAAGTTAATGGAAAAATATCCCCAGGTGAGAATGAACAACAACAAAAAATACCCAAGTAAACTTCGTAGCATTGCTTCTATTGACCACATAATTTCTGTACTTTGCATTTAAATTAGCTGTAGTGGCTGTTGAATTTAGGCAAAACTGCCCTTTAAATGTTGGTTAAAAGGAGTTGAAATAGTGTAATATGTAATTCTATTCTCTGTAACTGTCATGTCAAAAATTATGTTCCCTTATCATCTGGGAACCATAAATAATAATTTCCTATCTCACCAGTCAAAATGACTTGGCAGAGTTCTTTGGAATGTTTATTATTAAAAAATTAAAATGTGTTTTCACACTTAAAAACACTTAGTGGGTTTTAAAAATAACCTCGTTTGTGAAAATTTAGTTTCAGTAGTACTGAAACTGTTTTAAAAGGGCTACCATAATTATGGTAAAATTTAAAAATAATTTAGAAAAAGAGTACTGTTTAAGTGTAAGAAGTAAACAGTATTTGAAGAACTTTTGGGAAAAATTTTAAAAACATACTTTTTTTGTCAAGAAATAAAGTTTAGTCTATGCTTATAAAATTCTTGTGTGGGAGAATACGGGGTTGGGAAAAACGTATGAAGAGTAAGGAGAGGAGGAAACCTTGAGGGAAACAATTGCTTCATTTGCATACTTAAAGTGAGAAATAACTGTTTGTCAAACTAACCTGGAAAATATTTAAAGGTGAAAGGAAAACAGTATTCTAGAGCAGTACTGTCCAAAAGAAATATGTGAGTCATGTATGTAATTTTCAGTTATCTGATAGCCATATTTTAAAAAATAAAGAGAAGAAATTAACTTTATTTTATCCAGTATATTCAAAATATTTCAACATGTAATCAATATAAAAATTGAGATATTTTACATTATCTTTTAAAAAATATTTTTATTGATTTCAGAGAGGAAGGGAGAGGAAGAAGAGATAGAAACATCAATGATGAGCGGGAATCATTGATTGGCCGCCTTCTGCACACCCCTTACTGGGGACCGAGCCCACAACCCAGGCATGTGCCCTTGACGGGAATTGAACTGGAGACCCTTCAGTCCACAGGCCGACGCTCTATCCACTGAACCAAACCGGCTAGGGCTACATTATCTTTTTGTACCAAATTGTTGAAGTCCAGTGCGTATCTTACACTTACAGCACCTCTTAGTTCAGAGTAGCCACATTTCAAGTGCTCAATGAACAGTGACTACTCTATTGATAGTGCAGTTAGAGTTAGTATCCCTAATTTAAAAAGAATTTTTACAAACCAGTGTACATTTCAGTAGAAAAGTGGGCAAAGAGTTCAAGTGGCCAAAAAAAATGCAAAAATGTTTTATACTCACTAATAAACATAGAACCATAAGTTTAAAGGATTTAGTACTCATTGCCTGGCTGTGTTGGCTAACTTTTTCATAATGATGCCTCATATTGAGAGTGCAGGAAAGCAGGAACTCCCTTACTACTGATTGGGACATATAGTTGAACAGTGTTTTATAGGTCAGTTATTCTTTGTATAAAAATAACTTTAGCCCTAGCTGGTTTGGCTCAGTGGATAGAAAGTCGGCCTGTGGACTGAAGGGTCCCAGGTTTGATTCTGGTCTTGGGCACATGCCTGGGTTGCGGGCTCGATCCCCAGTGTGGGATCTGCCGGAGGCAGCCAATCGATGGTTCTCTCTCATCATTGATGTTTCTATCTCTCCCTCTCCTTTCCTCTCTGAAATCAATAAAAATAATAATAAAAAAATAACTTTAAAGGTTTATGCCTTTTGATCCAGCAATTCTAAAGGGATTTACTTTAATGGAATAATCGGGTATGTATTAAAATGTGTGCATTTAAGTTCATTATTCATAGTAATAAATTGGTAACATAGTTATAATTAGAAACTGAAATATTATTATAGTAAATTTATTATGGGCTGGTGATATATGCAACCATTTTTTAAAGTAATAATTTAGAATATTTAGTGACATAGAAAAATGCTCTTGTACTATTAGTTAAAATTAGAAAAAAATTTAGTAAGAAAATATACTGCAATGTTAATTGAGTTTCTCTAGAAAAATTTTTTAGCTTTGTGTTTTTCAAATGATCTACAATAAACATATACTTTTAAATAATAAGATGTTACTTAATTTCTATAGTGAATATATTCTTTTTGTTTTAAGTTTCTTTGGCTTTGCATAGAGCACTTAACTTTTTAAAAAATATATCTTTATCAATTTCACAGAGGAAGGGAGCGAAATCAGTAAACAGGAGCAAAGGGAATCCCTGCGCAAGGAATAGGGGCTGAATCTGAGGAGAATCATTGATTGGCTGCCTCTTGCACGTCTCCTACTAGGGATCTCTATCCACTGAGACAAACCAGCTAGGGCTTATTTTTTCATAGAATTATAAAAAATTTGACCAAAATTTGAGGTCAGAGGATGCTCCTTTAAGTACTGCATATCAAATGAACAGACACATGCTTTTGCTTAAAACTGAGATTAATGAAAGTTTTTAAATAAAAATATAGAAATTAAAGCTTTGTATTTTATTCCTATCTGTAATGTGCTCATATTTACTACCATAAGAAAAGTAGAGTAGGGATCTTAACAATTTAACTTTTGTCCCTAGAACTCCCTCCCTTAAATAACTAATAGGAACATTGACAATTATAAAAGACCGTTTTGGCAGACTGACAGCATGATTCTGTGTAGTTCAAGTTAATGATAGGATTTATAACTATAAAATGAGTATGTTCTTCATAGAGTTTTTGTGAGTAAAAATTATTCAATAAAGAGGTGCTAGACATTATAGTTACTGTGGAGTAATGCTGAACAAGAGACACAGTTTTCACCTTTATTGGGCAGACACTAGGAATGAGAAAACATAAGTGTTGTGCAAGAAAGTAGCCAGCAGGGACTGTTTCATTACATGTGCTGGTCTGGGACTCTAGCTTTCCTGTTACTGTTTTTACTTTTTAAAAGCAAATATTAACAAGAATAAAGCAAGGCAATAGAGATGTATGCCAAGAAGCAATGCAGGAAGTTGCCAGCATCTCATATACTTTACTTGAAAAAAAAAAAAAAAGGATTTCCTATTGTTTACTCTATTTTGGAGAAAAATCAAATCAGCACCAGACTTTTAGGTTGAGCTACCCGGTCAAAGTCACACTTTTGCTTGTTAGCTGATTAGGCATAAAAGAGATTTCTCTGCATTTTTGCCTGGCTGAAAGCATAAAAGTAAACTAAAGATAGTGTGTTAATATTAGCACTAATAATATTAAAAGTAATCGAGCAATGATAATATTTTTAGTTTTTAAAAATTTAG